AAAATGCGCATGTGAAGACTACTATTCGGAAACATACGCTTCCAGAATCGGGATCGGAATCCGTGAGCTGGACAGCTGAGCCTTCAGATGACGCCTGCATTAATGACAAGTATCTATGGGAGCTAAAAGAGAGGCCAACCCAGCGAGAGTTAATAGATTGCTGGTTGCAGTCGACATCAGACCGGGAACCGTTCAAGAGAGTCAAGCGTTCACATTGGCTTAACAACGGGTCGGATGCGTCGGGAGATGCTGATGAGCCGCATTCGAGGCTGCCAGTTTCTGACGCATACTCTGTCTATTCATCGTCGACGCAAAATACTAGGGCTACAAGGCTGGCATAATTAGGTACACTCTTGATAGAAAAGTCACTTCATCGTCCAATTTCCCGTCCTAGCTGATGATGGGAGGGCTAAACAGCTCTTAAGTCCTAGCATAATGGTAAAGGAAATATAGAATAACACATATCGGTGATATGCTTTAGTGCGCTTCTGCTGTGAGATTGATTTATAAGTTCAGGAGTTGAATACAAAGTTTCGTTGCAATAATAAATTTAATTACCAAAGACTACAAATTACAAGCTCTGCAGATCCATCGCATAATTAGCACTCATCGACAATGGCGCGGCGAAAATATCTCTTATAGCCTCATCCCTCTTAAGCAAATTGAAAACTGATACAGCGGACTGTTGTCTGAATCCGGCACGAAGCCAGTGGCGAAGGAAGACGGTCAGCGCCGGACCGCATCTCTGGGCGAAGCTCTCAAAGTGCGTCCATCGTTTGAAAGCTTCCAGCGTGCCGGGCTCCACAAGACCCCTGTGCTCCAGTTCCAGGGCAGATATGGGCATTTCTCGTGCTTCGGCGTGCTGCAAGACGTCGCCGACTGCAAGCTGGGACTTTGCCGACGCGCGAGAGCCGTTGAGCGTCTCGAGAATGAGGAGCATCAGCTTGTGAAACGCCAAGGTCTGCCCATGTTCCGAGATGGGATAGAGGAGGCTTATCTGGCGGAGGAGGACCAGGAACCCGGGGATGGGATATCGCAGCAACAGCAAGTCGTGGTTGTTCGGATTAGCTGGGTCTCGGAACTCTGGCAGATCTAGCAGCTCGTAGAGGGCCTTCTTCTCCGGAGGCCGGGAGCTGTGGGGTTGGAAGTCGATACTCAACGTAGCCGGGACCTCGATGAGAATATTTAGATTATATTGAAACCACTCTGCGCTCCTTTGGAACAGAGAAATGTCGGTACGTGCTCGGCCGCTGCTAACATCGCGATCCGCGTCGTTCAACTCGGCATCCAACATGGCCATAAACACAGCCAGTAGGTCATCGGAGTCAATCCGCCCACGCATAGCAAGGTCCAGCGCTTCAAGGACAGACGCCTGGTTCTGACGCAGAGACACCATTGGCACCGCAGCGATGACCGTGTCGCCCAGAGGCGATGTGCCTACGCGTACCAGGTGGAACGCACAAGAGTCGCAGCAGACAAATGTAGACAGGACTCGGGTCTCTGCAAAACTACCTATGGCAAAAGGAAACGCGATCTGTGCATTGTCACCTTCGCGTGGGAAGCCCACCGTTGGTCGACCTGCCGACGGCGCTCGTAGGAGAATGGTGAGCACAGCGCCGTCGTAGTGGCAGAGAGCGCATTCACCGCGTAACTCGTTACTGGCCTTGTCTAAGGACTTGAATCGCTCAAAGCCTGGGATGAGGATCGGGTCACGCGTGGAGCGTCGGAGAGAGGGGGATCGGCTCCTGGTATGAGAGCGTTTCTTGCCCGGCAGTTTCCTACTCCTTGACCTCCGGAAACTATCGCTGGCTTGGGTCACCGAGGCTGAGTTATCCAGTGTTAAATCCTCGTCGCTAGAGGCGCATGCCGGTGCTTTCTCGTTGAGCAGGTCTTTCCCGCTGTCCAGACTGTAACTAACATCCATGCTGTTCAAGGCAGGGTCACTTATGAAAGGAGAGCTGAAGGGGTTTAATGCCAAGCTCTCTTGACCCATCATCCCGCCGCCTTGTGTGAGAGCGTAGTCTCCGTCGGAGAAAGGGTTATAGGCGTCAGACGAGGACGCATACAGAGGTGGATATAGGAGTGGATTTGAGAGAGGCTGGGACGCATAGGCTGGTTCAAGGACAGGGATGGTAGGCGCCATCTGCGGCGAGTCTATTGGGGAGTTGTTGTTTCGGGGCGATTCCACGTCAGACGCATACCCGCAGTTGCCGACGTTCCAAGTATCGAGTATGGGAGATGAAGGCCGATCTTGAACTGACAGCGCGGCATTCGCATCCTTTTGCGTCTGTCTGCGGCGTTTCTTCATGCGCCCAGCACTGGCCCTGGCGGCGTTGTAAAGGCGCTGGTTGGTCTTGTTCGCTTCATCCTCGGATTCGTTGGCATCACCCTTGAGTTTGCGCCTGTGCACCTTGAGGTTCATAGCGTGCGCCTGTCGAACTTGTCGCCGCAGATCTTCCACGGATTCGTCTGAACTGGAAGATTTGAGAGCCTCCAGAAGTGCCGAGACGGCCTTGTGCGCTCTGTGGTCAACATCCACGGGCCTTTTCGCCCGCGCAGAGGCTGGAAGCTGGTGTGAGATGAGCCAGTCGGCCACTTTCTCACCGGTGCCTTTTGTCTGAGCGGCGAGGGCCAGGCTCCTGACGTTGTCGCTGTTGTGGATGATCTTCTCAATCGTCGCTTCGTCGACGTTGCCGGCGAGCATGTCGGGGATATTGACGATCAATCCGTCTTGCAGGGCCATTTCATCGGGCTCGAGATCGCGTATGACGGAGAGCTCGAGAGAGAACAAGTCCTTGTATGCGACCCGGGGAAGTTCTGGCCAGGCCGTGTACTGGTTGACACGCAGCTTGATCCGCTCGCTGCTCCCTACCGCAGACGGCGGCAGCAATCCTTGGAAGTTGCCCTTGGCCTGCAGGATCCGGACGATGCCTGTTGGGATATCATGAAAGAGCAGCAGGCAGTGCGGCACGTTGGCGTAGACGGCAATGCCCACCGAAATGTCGCAGGCGGCTGGCCGGCCGTAGCTAGAGTCACCAAAGACAATAATCACGCACGGCTTATTGTGGATCGACATCTCGAGCGTCTCCTTTGCGAACTTCTCCACCAGCTTGTTCTCGATCTGGCCATCCGTCATCAGGACCCATATGCCCGCGGACCGCAGCGATGCAAGACACGTCGATGACTGGTACAGCGACGATGGATCCGTGCCACCTCCAGACCCGATCCTACGCCGGGCCTCATAGCTATCGGGGAAGATGACGGGCTCCAGGGCCGTGTGGCACCACGGGAGGACCTGGATAGAGGCGCTGTTGGAGTCGGCATGCTGCTGAGCCTGGCGGAAGGTGCAGAACTGGTGCACCACGTCCAGCTCTGCCGCGATGGTTGCGCCGTACGTGCTGCCTGACTTATCAAGGGCGATGCACATAGGCATATTGCCTATTTCGTGGAAGTCGGAAAATTCGGACATGTTATCGGCGATGGAGACGGGTGGGGCCGGTCGCGGATCGGCCGTCGAACCGATTGTTGGTTCCGATGTTGCCGTTTTGGGGTGATCGGAAATATTTGCCATTGTTAGTTGGGATATTACAGCAATAGATTTTTGCTGAAAGTATTTTGGCCATCGAACGGTGAGGGGATCGAGAGCACATATTGACATTACTTGCGACTATGTAGCCTGGCGAACCACGTTTGTTGCCTTGGCGTAGTTCTGGTTGAAAATGAGGCGGTCTATATCCCTGTTACATGTAGGATGCACGTCAGCCCAATTCTGCCTTGGCGCTTAACTACAGCATTTTAGGTGTAGCCTCATGCATTCGAGAAGGTGTGATATGACTACAACAGCTCTCCTGCCGACCTGCTCTTATGCAGAAAGACGACAAACTATAGTATTAATAATAGCCCGATGCTTAATGCTAAAGGTATCTTATAGTTATGGCAGGCCTAATATATATAGATTAAAGGTAAAGAGTAATAATAAAAAAAAGACTATAAAGGATAATATCTTTTAAGGCTTTTAAGTATAAGCTAAATATAAATTATTAATTAGGTTAAGTTAAAACAAGATCTTTATTATACGATAAAGAGTTAAATAATTAATTTAATAATATTAAATATAAAGGAAAAGAGCATAAAATTATATATAAAAAAGTTTAAAAAAGCTAAAGTCTTAAGAGGATTTTATCTTTTTATACTTATTATTATAAATATTTATTTAATCTTATTGTTAAAATTAAATCTCTTATTTTTAAATACTTATAGTAATTATAATATAAGTCTTTATAACTATATTATAATACTTAATTCTTAATTATTTACTAATTAATCTTCTTTAATATTATATAGTTATAAGTAAAATTCTTGCAAATCTAAATCAGGGGTAAAATAAATAATAGCTTATATCTCTAAATTAAATAGTTTTTATAACTTAGCTATAATATTATATTAGGAAGAAATGCCATAGTTTTGGCGCCGGAGTAAGCCATAGGAGGCCTGGTAGATCTCAGCTATATAAGAGAGATCTAATTCTGGGTTATTTTAATAGGCCTGAAGCGCAAGAATAATATTTGCCTCTTTATTTAATTAAGATATAATTAATAGTTGAGAATTAATTAATTAAATAGAAATATTATAAGGTGAGGGATTTTTAGTTCACCCGCTTATCTGGTCCACTCGCTTATCGTGTATGTTTTATACTTCTACAGTTAGGAGATTTTATATTAAAATTTGTTCTTTTGTTCTTCTTAAACATCCAAGTTAACCCCGACCCCCTTCCGACCATGATAGATATGTTTTAAAGGAAGTGTGACTATCGTTGTTTCTTGCTGAATCCACGTGGGGTGAACAGCACCATATTGACATCGTTCTGCCTAAGAGGCGTATAAGGTAAGCTCTATATCCAGCAATGCGGTCTAGTCAGCTCTGTTAAAGATTCTTATCTATTAACTTTAGATCGCTACTAATATTACTCAGATTGAGCTCGCCGCTAACAACCTTTGCGTTTAGACGTTGTTCTGAGCTACTCTGACTTCTACAAAGAGGTCCAGAACTCGCCCAATCGTGCCTCCCACCCTGCCAAGTTGGCCGTCCATGATGCTCTTGCCGAGCTCCTCTCCCTGCCTGAAGAACCCCTTGGCGACTGCACATACATTATGCAACTCCTCCTTGAGAATCTGACTATTTGGATATCCAGAGATTGATATGCCAGGACCTCAGGGTACGGCTCAGATGAGAAGGTCACCAAGGCGGCCTAGGTTGAAAGGGTACGTAAGGATACCTTGTCTGAATTATTTGAGGTCCTCGGTGGTGATAGCATCAAGTGCGGCAAACTGCCGCTTGGGGCAGATCGGGTAGTGAGGCCAGTGACATCCTCAGCCTCGGCGAGGGCGGCGTCGTTGACACTACCGAAGGGGTACATGTCACGGAGACCGTCGGTGGTAGAGACATGCAGCACAGAGTCGCAGACTCGCAGATCGGCACGCATTCAGACGCCATAGTAAAAAGCAAAGATTTCCTCGGAGAGCCCCTTTCTGGGGTCGCTATGGACGAGACCACACCAAAAGCCGGGACCACTCCCCTTAGGTCTCGAGACGCTCTGCCTAACGAGCATGGTGCTGGGCATGTTTGTTGTTTGTGCGCTGTGCATGCGCTTGCTCTCGACCCGTCGCTTGACACGGTAGACTTTTCAGCCTATAAACTCAGGCAGGGGGGAAGGGAAAGCCGGACCCGTAGAGACAAGAAGGGAGAATTAATTATCATCAGCCGATAGCAGTGGTGTGTAAGTGGATGAGTATGTGAGGTGGAGATGAGTGGATTGTCCATTTGTATTACTAGACGTTAGGGTGCATTAGTTTAAACGGTAGCGGGAGGTAGTAAAAGCAAGGATGGCTCGAGCTAGCAACCGAGACACTAGACGAGACGAAGATCAAACAAGACCATCTGTCATGGTTGTCAATCAGGTCCCTGGAAAACCCCACAGCTCACCCTGTCCAGTCGTTGCCACCAGCTCAGGGCAGGGGACGATCAGTCCGATGACCCACAGGTAACCCGGTTTTAACACCAAACAGAACAGCCCCTCGTCACTCATATCCAAGTCAGCCAACGCATCCCCCATCCCCTAATGTAGAAGATAGCTATATTGGCCATGCTCCCCTCCAGCCGACCATTTAACCAGCACTACTGCTATTCTTCTTCTTCAAATTCCGCCTCCTCCAATTCAGACATAGCAGCTGAGTCCGCCTCTGCTGTTTCCTACGGACTCGGCATGTACTCCATCCAACTCCCCGTGGCCTCCGTCGAGGTGCTTCGCTGCATGCGATGTGCCAGCTCTGTCGAGGTCACCTCCACCGACGACATCAGCGCCATGGGCATGGTCCGCATCGCCCACAATCTCTACTACTGCGAGCGCTGCGCCAATATGGTGGGATATATATAAAGCAGTAACCTTGGTGTATTGGAGTTAGATGGCAAAGAGGTCCGGTCTGCTAGTGGCTGGGATGTGGATACTATGTGACTAGATTGCATTATTCTATTCCCTCACAAATCATACCTTTCACCGTCATCAACCCACATCTACATTATGTCTTTAATACACTTGTTACAGCAGAGACCGGACTGGCTCAAGATTGCGGCTCTGCGAGGGCCCATGGCAAGTGGCGCCAGGCTGTCGTTGACGCTGAGGGGACCCGACGAGGTAGAAGTCCCGCTGGTCGGGATTGCCGCGATCGGGCTGGGCGAACCAGTATCAAGACATGATTCGGACAAAACGACGAGATGAGGAGACAGGAAAAGCACAGCCAGTCCGATCGCCTGAGCCATGGCAGGCGATACTGTTCTTCTAGATGGGGGAGGCAGGTTTGGAGGGAGCCTAGCTTGCGGTTTAACAGCTTGAGGTGAACTTGTGTGGATGAGGAAGGGGATTTGTAGATGCTACTAGAGCGAGTGAGAGGTTTAAGCAATTGGCAGCACAGGCAGAGTTGTAGCTTAGATTGTCGCTGAGCTGAGCATCGAAGCCAAAGCCGCTTTCATACATTTCGGAGATGAAGTTTGATGCATGGCTGGGCTGGTCTGCATACCCAACATTCTGGCTAGCAGCTCCTATTGTAATCAAAATTTATTTATTTAGTTAACATAAAAAGCCCTTATCGAATAAATAAAATCGCTATTATATCTATACGGGCATACGCCCGGATACCAGCTCTAAGGTAGAGATGGTTTTGTTTGAGTTGGGACTCCTAATCCGTCAGTATTTCGCACCAAGGATACACGTTGATGAGGTCTTTGCCATCGCCAGGCCGATATTTGCAAGTGGAGAGCTGGAAGGGCTCCTCCTTTTCTCTCGAGACGGCTCAGGCCTGGCCGTACTGGATCGTTGAGCGCGGATCAGGCGTGCTCGCTTTCTTGAAAATGTATGGAATGACGAGGGGCCGTGGATTCTGGGGACCCAAGTCGATGGCAACCGGCCCTAGCGGCGGTTGGGCAACTATTTCTTGAATTAATGACAGGTAAGCCAAAGCAGGAATCAATTGCGTCGGAGATTACGCTGTTGGATAACGTTGAAACCCACTGGGGCTGACTATATACACACGATCAGGGTCATGGAGAAGGATATCGTATTGCAACCAGGTAAGGACAGCAGCATTACTGTGATCAATTGACAAAGGCTCCCACTTGTCAGCCATGAGCAGGTTCTCGCTTCGCCGCAGTCTAAGTCCTCGAAGGGTTTATAGACGATGAGAATGTGTGAAGGTTTTGGGCTCAAAGACGTCGGTAGCCGCAAAGATGTTCATCTTTAGCCGAGGATGTGCAAGGCTTCATCCAACGCAAGGGGCTTTTTATCAAGGAAGATGCTGCGGTAGGGTTAATCGCACCTACATGCCGCCACTCAACTCGATGAGGAAGAATTGAAGATATCAAAGAAATGGGGTATGCTGGAATTGCGTCATACGCATCCGGGAATAGATGGAATTATGAGACTGCCGTCAGGATGGAAGAGGGCTCGCTGTCGGATTGCCGAAAACACTTGTTATGATAGAATCTTACATTTCTATGGAGCTATCTTGGATATTTGACTTGGCTTTGGTATATTTGGACTTCGTCATCACTACAGAGACAGAAGTCTCGTTTTCGCCAGAAATGGAATTGCCAAACTCGAGTGAGGTCGGGGCAAAAGCCGAAGAACGGAAGCACAAAAGGGTACAAGATCAACTGCACATAAAACTTACAGTAGAGTGGAAGCAATATGATAGTCTTCCCTCAGTGAAAGAGCACCAAAACCAGTCTATTTAGTAGAGACACAGTATCAGCATTGCGCAGACGCTAGGGAATATCACTTTCATACGCACATACGACCATGCTATGGGTGATACAAACCAGGTTTCAGGAAGATACACCCACCTTTACGTTACACCAAGGTATTAAAGAAGCTCCTTAAACCCGCTCAGTAATCACACTCTCCTTATTCTACCGCAGATCAAAGGCGTTTTCTCCCAGTGTCCTACTACATTATGACGAGGCAATTCAATGGTGTGCTTGCGTACTTATGGCTCGGGTTGCTTAACTTCGACAGTACAACAAATGCTAGAGTGATTGGTAGCACCCTACCCATGACCTTGGACTCCAACCAAGGACAAGGACAGGCGTTGCGGGGTCAGCCAGGCGACGAGTGAGTTTAGAATTCCTTGTCCGTGGCCACATATTGACAAGATGAAGACAGGGTACAATCACCCGCCTCATCAAGATTGAGACCATGCTCAAATGGATCTATGACAACCAATTCAAGTTGCTCGAGAAATATATTGACATCGAACAAAGAATAGAGACTATGAGAAATAGCCTCAAACAGAGAGAGTGTATCAAGGACCCCCTCGACTACGTTCTTGCAAATAGCGGGAGCAGGTGATGCGGGACTGGGGGCATACGAGTTAAACAGAGTATACTACTACGAATTATTGGCGACGATGACACAGACTCAAGCGATGATGAAGCAGACGGGTTCACGGGCGTAGCGGATCTAACCAAGTATCCATATGAGTTGTAAGGGAGGACGGATGGGTAGGTCTGATAGCATGTGTGTTGTATCGTGTTTCTGTGCTTGAAAGTGTCACGGATTTAGAGAAATACGACATTAGTCTGCTCGGTGTCTCATTCTCGAGGTCCACCCCAGGCAAGGAACAGGACTGACAATGGAGCCTATGGTGAGCTGCCAATGCGTCGCCGCGTACTGGCTAGACCTTGAGGGCGACCAACAACTTTGTGAGTGTTGCTGAGATGATGAGTTTGATGACAAGGAACGCCCGGTATGTTCTGTCTGTTCCGTTAAGGGCGCGGCACCTCGGAGCCAAGCCTACTGGCCCTGGGTATCTGCAGGACCGGTGCCTGAGGGGGCTTTAATGATAGCATGGTGGCGACATCAATGCACTGGAAGCAACAGACAGAGCGGTCATTGACAAGTGATGGTTGGGTCCCCAAGTGAGTTTGCCATTAGTTTAGTGGGGTTCTACCGTTGGTTTGCGGGATTAAGAGGATAAACCAGGACTCAATCTAGACACTAAGTGGTAAAATCAGACCACTCTTAAGGCCCTAGCAAGGGAACCTTCTGGAAAGAATTACCTTGCGAGGATAGCCATCAAAGGTTTAGCAGGGGAGTCTCGTCCCCTTCTCTGTTCAAATCGGCTATGCCACTCCCCGCCTTGATTTGGCATAGCTCCCTCTAGGCAGTTTCCCCTTTTATGATGAATCTAAGCCAGCGTGACTCTTGATTCACAAGACGGCTCATCCTTTAATATCGCTTCCCGCAGAGGCATATATCGGCGGGATAGCTGTAGCACCTGAAACCACCCATTATTACCACGATGGAGAATTGGAGCGGCCGAGAATTCAAGCTTTAATGGAATATGAGCTGATGTGTTGTATCTCAAGCGGATAAGGAGCCCTTCGGGTCAAGGGTTCTGGCAGCTTAGTATGTTGTTCTAGATAAAGACCTGCAACCCATGCTCCATGTTTCCCATGAGTCTATGACATAGGCGTCCAGATGGTTTTTGTTATCGCCGTGTGCGCGTTCCGTCATGTTGGACTACACCTCTTCATTGGCTTGACGAGCGCTCTCTGCAACAGAAACCGACCGGACAATTCCATAGTTTCGCATTAGAGAGAGAGAGGCCTAGCAAGGCGAACATACAACTAATTCGTGTTCTGATGGACCATGGGGCATGGGTTTGGGGGAGGAATGACCTTCCACACTGGGTTCATTCCACGCAATATGAACGATGACACTCATCTCCAACCATGAACCTGTCGGAATTAGTTTTGCAACGACCTGCAGTAGCTGATGTCTAGACACACACAGTCTCGTTATCCAGGTTGGTGGCGTTGGCTAAATGAGTCAAGAAACGGCTCCGCTAGCGCCCTGTCACCTGAGCGCTTGGGCCAACTCTTGTCTGGAACTTGGATGTGCTGAGGACCCAAGCGTCTATCCCCTGTGCC